AAAAAAAAAACACTCTTGAGATTTTAGTATAACAATGAAAGTAATACATACACTCTACTGTTGTTTGTGGATTTTGCTCAACTGATGATACCCCTTATAATTCAATTCAAGTTCATAGATTGGCATTTCGTGTCGTTATGAATTTGAACTTGAAAGAGTAGACTTTTGCTAATTTTTTTGCATTTACATTCGCACGTTGCAGATTTGGGCATTTGGCGGGTACAGAAAAGTGATATGAGCAGCCGTGCCAAGACTAATATCTGTTGGTATTCAGTTCAATTCGAGACATCCTCCGTATAATTTTCCAATGGTCCCTAAGTTGTTGTGTGTTGTGAGTTGTGAGTTGTGGCAGCACTACGAATCGGTGTTGTTTGTAATTTTCGTTTAATCTTTTTGTGAGCTTTGCTTTAACAGACAAAGTTGGGTAGATATATGATATTTGTGTGCAATGAATTGTGTTCAATTGTGGATATGTATTTGGTTCTTTCTGGGCTAGTAACTCTCTTTAACTAGTGAAAAAAGTCGAAAAACAATAGTTTCTGAACTTTTAAGAATGGAAGAACTATATTAATAATCACATCAGATCTCTGCAAAATGCACCAAACAAAATGCACCAAACATTGAAGCAAGTCTAGAAGCTTTTTGCCAGGATTTCATGTGATTCATTTTACTTGTACCATCAATTCAATTTGAATAGAATCCAAAATAGGCGCGAAATTACTTTCTCAACGGCGACGAGCTATCAGATTGAAAAAAAAAAAGGTTTCTTCAGTTCAAAGAACAAATCCTCGTTCAACTTCTCCTACTCTACGCTTCTACATCACTATCAAAGTCTATCTTCTCTTTTTCTTAAGCAAACGCAAATGCCTCACCAAATACGATATCCCTTCTTTCTACATCACTATCAAAGTCTATCTTCTCTTTTTCTTAAGCAAACGCAAATGCCTCACCAAATACGATATCCCTTCTTTCAGACTCGCTCTTCTCTGTTCTTCATGATTCCAAAGCTCGGGAACAACATACCTCCCGCTCGGGTTGTATTCGTTCAACTCCATCAAAGCCCGTGAGACAGCTTGGAAAGCTTCTTCGCCGAATTCATTCCTCAAACACTGTAGTCTTCCATCTTCTTCATCCACTATCGCCTGCACCAAAATTAAATAAATAAATAATTAAAAAAAAACAGTTGAAATTGACTGCTTTGCTCATTCTCAGCTCTCATTAACTAAAACAATGAACAGTTGAAATTGACTTAGCTCATTCTCAGCTCTCATTAACTAAAACAAAGAACAGTTGAAATCGACTTTGCTCATTCTCAGTTCATTAACTTACAAAGTAACTTCCTGGAATTAGCAGAGGAGACTCAGTTGAATAGAAAACTAAAAAAGTATTGCATATTTAAGGCAGGCATTCACCATCAGTTGCTATTTTTTCACATAAGCCTGGTAAAAACATCTTGTTTGCATGAAGCATGTTCTTTACGCGTTCAGTTTTACTCCGTTTCACTGAGTCATTGCCAAGGGATATTTGATCAAATATGTATTTATCCTTCAATAGTACCTTCATTGTTTTACCATCTTTATCTGTGACGATCTTGAAAGGGTGCCAGTTGGCATCCCTTAAGTAACTGTCCCACTCAGTGCACAGCTCGACGGCTTTCATGTTGACTTCACGACCCGAATACTTCCTTTTGGCCCCCGAGACGAAAGCTTTGCTATCAAGCTCCCCCATTCTCTTGATCCGAATGGATTTAGAGACAAATTCCTTGAAGATCTGTAAGGAAATTTTGAAGCCATTTTTTAACAAGTAACCAAACAAAGTACTATGAAGATGAAGTGAAGCTACAAAGTTCTTGAAAGCAGTCAGTATTGGTGAAGTTAATGGGCAATTGATCAGTTGGTGAAGAATGAGCACTGCATGCATGACATGTAACCGCTGGTTGAAACTAGCGTTAAGTGATTCACTACGAAATGGAGTGTACCGTAAATACACTCAATAAGATACAGGGTTGAGTTTTGAAAAGTTGTGAGGGCAAAATTTTGTTCAAATAAGCATCATTAGACATTGTTGAATCAGGCAAATTATCTGATGAAGTAAGAAGTTCAAGTTTTTTTGCACCAACAATTAAGATCCCATAACACATCTCAAGAAACTCAGTCGTCAAAACAACAGAAAATCCCTTCCCACATAAGAAATCAACCAGAGATAGGAAACAAGTAGATTCTAGTTTAGATCCAACTCTTATGAAAAAATTATATCATTAATAAAAACTGAAATATTGATTGAATGTTAAATATCTATAGTATTAAAAGAAAGGCATTATTATTAATTTCTACAATCCACTTATCTCCAAGTTCAAGAGATCTGCACTTGAAAGACTCACACACAGACACAGGCAAACAGCCGACAGAGAATTGACACAAACTGTTTGGCATAAAAAACGAAATCCGTCAAATATAAACAGAATTTATCAGAGCTTACCTCAATCATATCTTTCCTAGCTTCTTGCAATTCATCGTTGGATCTCCGTTCTTTCACAATGAGATTCTGGTTGAGTGTGTCTAAAAAATCCAGCTCCTCCTCCTTGTCTTGCAGCTCTTTTTGGATGACACCCAACTTTTCGGCTTCCTCATCTCCTCCATCTTCCATGCGTCTCACCACTTGAAGCTTACCTCTGAGAGTTTGTATTTCCAGCTCGAGCGCTTGCTTGGCATCTATCTTCTTTTCCAACTCTACAATCTTTCTCAGGAGTATCTCTTTCTCTCTCTGCCAAAAAATCAAGGTGTAGATTATTTAACTAAAAGCTGAGTGTAACTAAGAGGTGGAAAAAGAGGTATAAAGAAAGAAGGATACCTTATGATCCTCTGCTAGCTTTAGAACTTTTTCTTCTGCCCTCCTTCGCTCCATGATGGCTTTCTCATTCTGCACGGTACGAAGTTATCGAAACTTAGTATATTCTGAAGCCTGGTCTAGTAAGTATAAGCAAGAATACACCGCACAAACTTGTGTTTTCTGATATTACTAGTACCTCACCTCATTTTTCGTGGAGTTCATGTCATTAGAAGATAAGTTGGAAGCTGAAACCATTTCATGACAATGTATATAAAAAAGTCTCTACACTTATGCTCATGCTAAAAAACTGTGCATACTTATCCTACTGTGAAAGATAGCCTTCTGTTCTGGTAATGCAAGTAGCCAACCTTATGGAGTCAATGTCTGGAAATCGATAGAAATGAGTTTCTGATAACAAATTTAATGATAAGATGCTTTGTTATTTGATTCTCAAGTAGAAGTAATTAATTAACAAATGGGTTGTTTACCTGCAGCTTTTCAGCTTTAAGCTTTTCAAGATTTATGGTCTCATTCTCATTTTTAACTTCACGCGCCTTAAGTTCCTTTTCAAGCTCGTCCAGATCAATCCTTTTTTTCTCTAGCTTCAATGTGTCTCTACCACATTCCTCCGAAATTCTCTGTAAATAATCACGTGCATTCCTTTGTACCCTCTCTCTCTCTGTTTGAATCATAACATTATTAACCAAAGATATATATATAAAAAAAAATGAAAAAAAAAAGCAACTAGGAAGGTAGCAGATTTTGAACTATAATAAATTGAAAACTTACATGAATATATACTTCATTCACACACACACACACACACACACATATACGTATATATATACCTTCATTGAAATTTCGGGACATCTCATTTTTTTCGTCGATCAAGCTTCTCAAACTGAGGTGCGCCTCCTGGTACTTGCTCTCCATCTCCAGAAGGCGCTCGTCTTGAGCCTCAACTGTGCTGGCCAAACTCGCCACCAGCTTCCCGTTTTTCCTCTCCTCCTCCTCTGCATACTCCTTGATCGTCTTCAGATCACCCTTCGTTTTTAAGTATTTACCGACTGCATTCTTTACATTGTAGTCGTCCAGGCGAGCCACCCAGCAGTAGAGCTTGTCACCCCTTTCTCGAGCAGTAAAATAGGCTCTCTTCCCCTGACGGTTGGCTTCGTAAGCCTTCTCAAACCTCAAGGCATCAGCTAGCCCCTCCCAATCATTTCGAAATTCAACCACGGCAAAGCCTGAGTGGCCCCTTTTTTCCCACAGAGGCTGGACTCTCACGGGATTGAAACCTCGGCTTTGCAGCTCTTCTCTAAACTTCGTCCCACTTTCTCCTACATATTTGCCTTTAATCCGCTGGACGGGAATATTTGCCACGACCCCTTTCCACGGCCACACAAAGACCTCGTTTTTTTCCGAAGTAGTTTCCGAAGAACTCCCTCCGTGGACTTCATTTTCACTGACTTCCATGATTTCTTCCCTCTCTGCATACAGAGTTACCCATGGGGAATGATCAAAACATGTGAGAAACTAAACAGACACCACAGATTAAGGTAAATCAAGGAAAAACCAAAAAGATTTTTTATCGATCATCACCTGCAGTTACCTTCCAATTCTGCAATTTCAAAGAGAATGAGAGCTTGTTGCCTGTCAAATATATCTTGTATGCACACTGACACACAGCCTGCACAACCCCATATTCTCATAAATCAGAAATAAGGGA